GTTTTGTTATTTTTATGGCCTTATAACAATTATATTCAACAATTTTTATGAGCTCGAGGCCGTTTTAAGTGAAAACTTATTGTGGAAAAGCAACAATAATTTGAAAAAATGGTAGAAGTGATAGCTATTTCGGAAATCACCACATTTCCTCATCAGACTTCTTTCAGTAGGATTCGAACCGACGATCACCACTGACTCAGCCAGTTGCCTACGCACTGTGCTAAGTTTGTCTTGTTAATTCTTGTTGCTTATTTTCCACTATTTCACTTTGCTAAGCCAACTACAATCAAGCGCAGCTATTCCGCTGCAATTCACTTGATCATGTGGTTGTTGGTTTTGTTGGTTTTTGTTAATATTTCTAATATTAGAATGTTTAACTTTTTAGGTGTGGCATATAATAACAAAAACACATAACTTGAGGACGAGCACACCTAAAAAGTTAAACATTCTAATAATAGAAATATTAACAAAAACCAACAAAACCAACAACCACATGATCAAGTGAATTGCAGCGGAATAGCTGCGCTTGATTGTAGTTGGCTTAGCAAAGTGAAATAGTGGAAAATAAGCAACAAGAATTAACAAGACAAACTTAGCACAGTGCGTAGGCAACTGGCTGAGTCAGTGGTGATCGTCGGTTCGAATCCTACTGAAAGAAGTCTGATGAGGAAATGTGGTGATTTCCGAAATAGCTATCACTTCTACCATTTTTTCAAATTATTGTTGCTTTTCCACAATAAGTTTTCACTTAAAACGTCCTCAAGCTCATACAAATTGTTGAATATAATTGGCATAAGGCCATAAAATAACCAAAAAAAAAAAAAAAAAACTAACTTAAGGACGAGCACACCTATAATGTTAAACATTCTAATAATAGAAATATTAACAAAAACCAACAAAACCAACAACCACATGATCAAGTGAATTGCAGCGGAATAGCTGCGCTTGATTGTAGTTGGCTTAGCAAAGTGAAATAGTGGAAATAAGCAACAAGAAGTAAAAAGACAAACTTAGTACAGTGCGTAGGCAACTGGCTGAGTCTGTGGTGATCGTCGGTTCGAATCCTACTGAAAGAAGTCTGATGAGGAAATGTGGTGATTTCCGAAATAGCTATCACTTCTACCATTTTTTCAAATTATTGTTGCTTTTCCACAATAAGTTTTCACTTAAAACGGCCTCAAGCTCATAAAAATTGTTGAATAAAAAATATTTTAGTTACTTTATAACATCAGTTATATAAAATAGAATAAATTTGTTTGCAACTGCCACCTAACAAAGCGGAGTTAAATTTAATACAAGCGGCGTAAGTCTTTACGATCAGCTGTTTAGGCTAAGCCCAACAGCTTGAGTTCAGGTAGCGTAAAAATTTTCCGCTTGAAAAAATTGCTAAAGTTGCCAACTGTTGAGCTGAGCGGAACTACACAACTATGCGTTTCGAAGACAAACACTCAACAGTTTAACAACAGCTACGTCTTAGAAACGCGCCCATTGTTTAATTTCTAACAAAACCTATGCATGTACATATCGCACCCTAAATACAAAAGGGTCACAACTCAAAATACTAAGATTTTCAGGAGAGACGAAAAACGTTTTATGTAAAAATTATTGTAATATTTAAAGAAAATATTGTTCCATCATGAAAATATACAACATTGAAGAAGGTTCTGCTATATTTTTTTCAATTTTATATTATGTTTGCGAAAATAAAACAAAATTTTGATTTATGACTCTTTAACTGAAATTTTTTCGATTAACTAGTGATATTATCTTAAGTTGTGCCTTTTTAACTGATAAAATGTTTTAATTTTATAAGTTTCCTAACCGCCGACTGAATAGAAGAATAAGAATAATAAGAAAATTCACAGGAGTGATGAAATGTATGTTTTTATTTAAATATTTCTATTTTGAAATAAAGCTTTATTCATTTCATTAACACATATGTATCAAAGTAGCACAAAGTAGAAATCAAAATAGTTCACTATATTAAAAAAGAAAATCTTCAAAAGTTTACGTTTTTAAATGCCATTGAAACTATGTAATAAATAAATATTTGTAATATGACTCATAAAAGTTTTTTGGAATATGATTTTTATCCACCAGTTCCTTTATGTCCTTTTGCTTTATTTGTGGAAGCGATAGCCTTTCCTACTACTATCATCATTGTAACAAGGCACACTACAATCAGTTTCCATTGTGCTTGAGTAATGTTCAAGGTTTGGGCAAGACATTTTCATCAAAGGGGTCACAACTAAAAATTAAATTTTTTATTGCAAATTATTTAAGATTTTACAAAAGGCATGCAAAATAAGTAAACAATCAAAAGACTAATACCAATATCATTAATATTTAATTCTTTTTTCTACTTTAAAATAAAAAAAAATTATAAAACTTACGACGCTCACGATTATTTAATCAAAGAAGGCACATAAATAAATAATACTGTTAATTGAACTCACTTTTCACAACTAAAGAGGCACAATGCAAAATAATATACCACGAAATTTATCACTTTTTACAGTTATAGAGGCAAAACTCAAAATAAAACTCTTTATGTGTAATAAAAGTAATCAGCTGTTCTTGAGCACATTAACGCAACTAAAAATAATTCTCTTTAGTTGATCGTGCAAAAGCAACACACTTGACATAAAAATAGACATAACTGTATTTTTCCAGTTAAAGAAGATAGTTATGTGAACGAAATTTTTGCAGTAGTTAGAGATGTGTACTCTGAATTAATTTATGCAAAAAACTCAGTTTTGGAAAATTTTGAGTTGTGACCCTTTTGTATTTAGGGTGCGATATGTTTACACATCAAATTTCGTGAGTAGGTACCTGGTACTCACACCTTTTTTAAGAGGTTTCACTTCTATCATGTGTGCGGTGCTACACACGCCCTTTTTATTACTTCTTAGCATAAATTACAGTTTTTTTTTCAAAATTTCAAATTTTAAAGATTAAATTTAAATATATTTTTCGATTTCTTTGAAAGTAAATTTTTAAGATAATAGAGGGCGATAAAGGTGCAGCGTTTCCTCTTTGAGAGAGTAGTTTCAGCTACTCTGTGCATTCCAGTGGCTACAGGAAATCACTACCTTAATATACGGATGCCGTATGTACATAGCAAAACTTCACTTTTCAGAAGACGGCTTTAAATGTATAATAGCAAATATCTGTTTTTTTTATTATTTTTGGCCTTTAAAATAATTATATTCCACAATTTTATTGAGCTTGAGGCCGTTTTTATGAAAAATGGTATGGAAAAAACAATAATTTACATATGTACATATAGGTAGAAGTAATAGCTGCTATTTCGGAGATCACCACATCTCCCCATCAGACTTCTTCCAGCCAGTGGTCTACACACTGTGCCTAGGTCGCCTTATAAACTGTTGTTGCGGATGTGGTGATTTCTGTTATAGCTTCTACCATTTATAAACTATTGATGTTTTTCCACAATAATTTTTTAATAAAAATGGCCTCAAGCTCAATAAAAATTGTTTATTATTATTTATTAGGCCAATAAAGAATCTAAAAAAAGTGGTTTTTGCATTCCAGTGACGGTTTAAAATGTATAACCGCAAATAGCTGGTTTTTGTTATTTTTGGCCTTTATAACAGTTGTATTCAACAATTTTATTGAGCTTGAAGCCGTTCCTATGAAAAAATGTTGTGGAAAGACAACAATAGTTCACATCTCCTCATCAGACTTCTTCATTGGGATTCAATATAGCGACCCCAGAGAACAAAGCCAATGGTCTACCCACTGCGCTAAGTTCGCCTTATAAACTGTTGTTGCCTTTTCCACTTTTTCACATGTCAACCCAACTACAATCAAGGGCAGCTATTCTGCGGCTATCTACACTTGATCATGTCGTAATTGTGGTTGTTGTTTTTGTTTTATTAGTTAAATAGCAAATACCCGTCGTGCTTCACTGCGCCTTGAAGGTATTTTTGTGTTGTTTTATACCCGTATTGTAATATTTCATTTATTTTATCAATATAATTAAATTAAAATTTTCAAACAGGTGGCAACCCTCCTCTAAAATATTTTCAGAAGTAAACTTTCCTAAACCTCTTCAGTTTGATGCCCATAATACAACAATTATTAACAAAAACCAACAAAAACAACATAGACATGACCAAGTGTTAATAGCAGCGGAATAGCTTCGCTTGATTGTAGTTGGCTTAACAAATGAAAAAAGTGGAAAAAGCAGCAACAGTTTACGTGGCAAACTTACCTTAGTGGGTAGAGTGCTGGCTTTGGCCGCTGGAGTCGTTGGATCGAATCCCAGTTGAAGAAGTCTGATGAGGAGATGTGGTGATCTCCGAAATAGCAGCTATAACTTCTACCAAAATGTAAATTGTGATTTGTTTCCATAAAATTTTTAATACAAACGGCCTCAAGCTCAATAAAATTGTTGAATATAATCTCCTCATCAGACTTCTTCAACTGGGATTTGATCCAACGACTCCAGCGGCCAAAGCCAGCACTCTACCCACTAAGGTAAGTTTGCCACGTAAACTGTTGCTGCTTTTTCCACGTTTTTCATTCGATACAGCGACCCCAGCTTACAAAGCCAGTGGTCTACACTCTGTGCTAAGTTCGCCTTATAAACCGTTGTCGCGGATGTGGTGATCTCCGAAATAGCAGCTTTAACTTCTCCGATTTATAAACTATTGTGGTTTTTCCTCAATAATTTTTCAACAAAAATGGCCTCAAGCTCAATAAAAATTAAAACAAAATGTGAAAATGCAAGTTTAATTTTTTATAATTAACTTTTAAAATTAACTACGAACTTCACACAAATCAAATTATTGTCTGTCATTTAGCATCAATGTATTATTATTTTTTTTTTTGGATTTTCATCAGATGCCACCTCTGGGCAATGATAAAAAAAAATATACGTATAAGTAAATTTGAAAATTTGAACCCAAATGGATCTCACCCCTTTTAAGTCCGATGGGTGGAACGCTACGATATTTGCCATTATTTCTACTTACCTGATGCAAAACGTGTTGCCACAAGGGTATCAACTGAATAAAATTACGTCTAACTCCATTTTTAAATGCTTTCGAAAATATTCTTCTTGAATCTTCACTCCATACTGTGTCAATTGCGGCTTTCCTTTCGATATTGATTTTTTTAGGTAGCAATGTATTTAGTCTCTGCAAAATAGCAAATGTTAGATAAGCTATTTTTAATTTAAAATTTAATACGAACCACAAAATAGTTGAGCGCAACCTGCTCACGGACTACTCTATCCTTAATGAAATACACGTAACCGTAGTCGTCCTTCCTAGCGATGTCAAACAGATATCTGTTTATTACATGTACTAGCTGAAGACACCAAACTGCCGACAAATGATCACAACTTATCCATACTTTCGGTATTGACATAGTCTTCAATGGTTAATGTAGGTAAGATTTTATATGGTTTTAAGAATAAATGATAACAATAAATTATTTACCATGGAATGTATATCGCTAAATTTTGAAATCGTGAACCCAGGTTGAACTAGTAAATCCCGATTTCCACCTCCAATGGAGATAAGCAGTACATCTATCAAAATTACGTTTTCATAATCGAAATGGTTATTCAGTAAACGACGACTGTATGAGGTTGAACAAATACTTGTATTTTTATCTGCTTTGAAGAACGGACGCACATTGGACAAATGTTTATTTATATCGTTGTAAAAAACTTCAATTTTTTCATCAAAAATTAACACAGGTTTGTTTATAGGAGCAGCTAAAGAAATAATTGTATTGATGTATTTCGATATTTCAATGTCTTTCAATACGGCATGTGCTACCACAGCACCCATGGAATGACCAATCAATATCACTTTTCTTTCCGCTACTTTACTATTAATATAAAGCTTTATAACGGTATTTATACAATGTTTCAAATATAGTGTTTGTCTTTCTAAATAATTTCCATAAAGCGCTGAAAGCTCTTCGTTGAAGTCGACTGCAAACATACATGTGCATATGTAAAACAATTTGTTTTTAAAACAATAGAAATAAGTAAATTTCTTCTTTATAACTGTTCAACAACTACATACTTACTTGTGTAATAATCCAAATGCATGCCAGTAACACTTCCTCTTCCTTTTTTTAAAGCTACAGATGCTAGAGAACGCACCTATTTTTAAAAGAAATTAAGGTTTAACTTTTTTAAACAAAAACATTGTGACAATCAAAACATTTAATGTTAACTTTAAATGTTTAATGTTAACTTTCTTAAATAAATAAATACATAAATAAATTATGTTACATAAGTAAGCGCACCTCACTAAACAAAATGGCATGTTCAGAGCCTAAAAATAAGCAATAAAAAAGCAACTTCAAGTGCTTAGATAAAAGCACTAAGATATTGGTCAGTATGCTTGCACATACGCTCCAAAAACCGCAAAACAATTTAAATATAGTTTAATATTCGGTTTTTGTTCAGTTTATTTGAAAAATTACAATGGATAATCAAGTGTTTTTCTCAAATAATGAAGATTTGCGCTGGCCGTTTAAAGGCCGGTTTTTCAGGGCACGGTTAAGGTTTAAACGCTCGAGCTGGCTAGTTCAAACTAAGATTAGCCAATCAAATGCCAGTCAGCTGTTCAATATAAACGCAGTTTACGCAATCTAAGTTTAAACTGGACCTTAAAAACTGGCCCTAAGAGGGTTGCAAAGAAGGAAAACGACCTTCCGACATGTACTAATGTTACTGTTCAAAATTTAAAATTTGATATTGCCACTTTTTTACTATTACTGAAAATAATGCGGTTTATATTACAAGAATATGCTCAACCTTCCTGTTTACCAAACTGAATTTAATATTTTAATATATTCCGTATTCTCCATTTGAGTTAAATTACTCATATTATTAATATAATAATATTATATTCTCTTATATATAATCATAAAATCCCTTCAGAAACACCAATGCCTTCCCGCAACATTTGGATTCCAGGCGAATTTATAGAAATAATAAAATAATGCAAAAAAAATCTTTTAAAAACAAGCTTTTATATAACATGTACAATCAAATGAATAAAATAAAATAGTGTAAGAAAAGTGTTTTTAGCAAGAAGTTTTGCACTAAAACTAATAAAATCTCAAGTAGCACACTGGTGTATAACTTGGTGTATATTTATGAATTTTGGTACATATGTGTTTAGATTAAATAAAAGATAATATTTTGGTGTATTTGTCATCCCGCCAGTACTTCTTCTCAACTCAAAATTCTGCCTTTAACGTTTTGGTACTATTTATTCATTGAGATTAGTACGAAAACTGCACCAGCTCCTAAAATGCACCACTTTTTTTATTTGGTTCACAAATTACAAATTAATGCTAAAAAAGGCGTATTCTTTCCTTTAATTCACACTCTGTAACCCCGTATACATTTTATTCCTTCATTCAAATAAAAGAGACAGCACTTAAGTTAAAAAACATTCATTCTATTATTTCCGTTTTTATACATACATATGTATTTTGTTAGACACTGAACTGTATCTATTTTAATGGAAATTTCTTAATGATAAATACATAAATAAACAGGGTAGGGTTTAGTATACATATCGTCATTTTAAGTACAAAACCTAAGAATGAAAACAAACAAAGAAAACGAAAAATGCGCGGTGGTTGAGTGCGATTATATTGGCATTTATCATCAAATATAATAACTGAAACTGAATAAAAATGAGGCAAAGGTGTTCATAAAATATGGTTTTCTTGATAGAAAGTGTTTTGCAACCACGTAGCATCAGCACAGTTCGATTTTTTCTGACCGCAAAAGTGCACCCACTTTTCACGCAAATTTACGCCTCTTGGCAAACCAAACCAACGCACAAACTTGTTCAAATCACAAAGCACTTCATTTATATCATAAATTTGAAAGAAATCAAAATTTATAGTTTAAATCGCTGCAGAAAACACATCAAGTCGCTAAAAGATCACTATGAAGAGGTAGAAGACGATGTCAACAAAACCAAAGAACATCAAAAACGCTACGAAAACTATTTTCCGAAAATCGTCACATATGCTGCTGACTCTGCCTATAAGCTAGAGATCTGAAAAATAAGAAAAAATACCAATTATCTCTTGATAATATGATAAGAATGTGTGTTTACAAAATTAACTCTTTCCGCAATTCCTGATAATTTCTGTGGGCAATTGACAATTGTCCAAAGAATTCACCAAAAAATGTATATTGAATACACCACACAGTAGCTTTGTTTCTTTACAGATATTTATCACTAGCAAGGCGAATTTACACAAGATAGTGTTATACCATGTTCGGACCGACAACGAAAATACTTTGACAACGAGTTTTGGGATTGTGTGCTGTAAGCTGTTCGCACCGGCTGTTAGAGTTTTCGTTGACATTTCTTTCATCCTTTGTTTACAGTTTTGCTACGAAAAAACAAAACCATAATATTTTTCTTTCATTTTCTTATTATTAGCAACCTTTATCGTTTATTTATATTTTAATTTGGCCAGCCAATTAGCAATAAATCCCAACTAGCATATTAGAGATGATAAAATATGACTTACACTTCGATAAATATATCTAAAAAACAAGTGAAGACACCGATTGGAATGGGTGGAATGTGAGTTTTCAAGTAGTTTTCAGCGAAAACTGGTTTTCGTTTGACAGATTTTACAAGGACGAAAACACAAGTTTTAGGTCGAAAACCAGTCTTAGCAACTAAAACATGTTTTCGATGGCGGTCTGAACATGGTATTAGCCGTAAAGAATAATAGAATAAATTTCTCGTGTAAAAATAAACAAAGCCGAAGGGAAGGATAGAAGAAAATGTCAGAAGAGTCAATTATATTAATACTCCATTTTTCTATAGGAAATGAGTTTTAATTGCTTTAAATTGTGAAAATATGATTTGTAATAATTAATAAATAAAGTCTGCAAACTGTGGAAAACTGTGATTTTAGTGAAAATAGGCATAAGTGCAGAATACGGCCCGTTAAGCTAGAAAGAAACGAAGCAGTGGCGTTGTCCACCCTTTTTTTCTAATTCTAATGGTATAAAATTTTTTTGGTGCAAATTTATATTGCAGGTGCTATGGAGTGGGAAAGGGGCAATTTTCTTTTTATTTTATTTTTGTAAACAGAATAAAAATTGTAACCACATAACCTGATAACCAGGCAAGTGTGAACAACACTAAATTTCACTCTGTGAGCGTAATTTTGTAATTTTTCCCGTTCGTCTTCCTGATACTTATCTGCTACAAAAGTAAAGAAACAAAGCTAGTGTGTGTGTACTTAATACACCACGAGTTTGAATATGAGCCAGTGTTGCCATGGACAAATTTTGTTTCCTACCAAATTTTCCTACCAAACTCAACCAAAACCTACCAAAATTGTATTTAAGTTTTTAGTATATTTTTGATGTCAAGTTTATTAAAAACGTAGATAACATAACATTTAGAAAAACCAAAATACAGCTAGTACAATAAAAACAAATTAACTACGCATAGACATTCACCTACCAAAATCCAATATAGCCTACCAACCTACCAAATGGGAAAAAAACCTACCAGTTTTGGTAGGAAAACGCCATGTTTGGCAACACTGTTATGAGCTATTAAACATTTCACAAGTAGTGTTGCCATTAGCATTACCATTTTGGTCAAATTGGTAGTTTTATTTTCCTTCGGTAGACAAATTGTGTAGGGCTCTTCTGCATTGACTGAGTTCAGACACGGAAACTTTTGGCGCGGAACTGGTTACTTGTAGGATTGCATTCTACTGTTCTAGCGTAGTGTTCGTTTGTAAAAATTGTAAGCAAAATTGTCGATTGGCGATTATAAAAAGTTGCTGTTGATGTTGAAAAGCTCTAAAGTCTACTAAATGCTATATGTTCTATAGGTATCTATTGCATTTTCTTTTACTTTTTAGACATAAGGTAATTGATATAAATTCATTTAATCTCAAATATTAAAATTTTTACATAAAGTAAATATGAAACGAAATAAAATATCATGTTCTGATGATACAAAAATTGGTTGTTTGGAAACTGATTTGGTAGGATTTTTGGAACGTAAAAATAACTGCAGTGGCAACATTGGTTGGTATGGTTAATACACCAATGGTGAGGATTTCTTTCACTGTTCTCAGCAAATTAAATATGCCGAAAAATATGTTTTGGTATATATAGTCATGGCAAAAAAAATAGGGGCACGACATTTTGATTAGTTTTTGTTTTTGTTTGATTAATGATTATTATATTTTTTTATTAAAAAAAATACAGCTTATTATCTAACAAAAACCATATAAGTCGGAGTTTGAAAATTGTAGAAATTATAAAAACTCAAAAAGATTTTACAACAACGACAAACTTTTTATTACGAATGTACAAGTAGCTATTATACGTACGAATGTACGGAGCTAATTAACGTTGCTTTTTTTAGAACTTTTTTGTCGGATTTACTTCCATATAACGAATAAACACAATCTATTTTTATATGGAAGAAAACCGCTACACGGTCAGCAAAAAATATCAAAAATCAACGCCTTTCTTAGTTACTTGTTCTTGTAAAATCTTGTTGAAAAAAGATTTTTGTTAGATAATGAGCTGTATTTTTATAAAAAATACCAAAGATTAAGTAAACGAAAGAAAAAGGGCAAAGCTTGTCAAAATGTCGTGTCCCTATTATTTTTCACAATACTGTATTTCCCAACTGTGCATTGTTCGTCTTTTTTAATTGACAAGGTACATTTTTTATACCAAATTCTCAAATTGAATGGTGTAAATTGTGAATATTTCTAAGTCTAAGGCAAAATAAATACACCGTTCTTTTGGCTTGGTAAATATTTTGTACCAAACTCAAGAATCAGTGTAAGTTTTCGACGACGACCATATTTTCAAAGTATTATGAAGGTAAGGCTATGTTTACAACCTAGAGTAATGGCGTTGCGCGATGCGATGGATATCGCTCGATCAAAATTAGGCGTGTATTATTTGACAAGAAATTTAAGCTATTAGCTTATTTTGTGTGGAAGTCGTAGCCAATATAGTGACTCCTTCGCCAGCATAATCGCTATCGATTAAAAAGCAGAAAGTGTTTAAAGTGTAGCAAAATTATACACGATTAAATATTAGGTTTTTTCCACACGAGCCCGCGGCTA